AAAAACTATTCAACCTCAAACCGTCTACACTTGGACTTCAGGTTTTAAGATAACTTCATATCATCAAATTTTAGCTTGTTGGCTTGAAGGTTCCTTATAAATATTTTAGACAATTCAATAGTTTTAACTTTGATGGCTTTTCTGTAGGCATATGATCAGTTCTTTCCCCTAAGTGAGATTAGTGAGAGATGAGAAGGAAAATGAAGAAAATGTCATTTAAAGCTTTTTGTTTCCTCTTGATCTGATTCAACAGAATTCCAAATTGTATGTGTCATGATTCAGAACCCGTGTCTGGCATAATCCAAATAGTAAAGATTATTTCACTAAGTTAAATATATTGAGTTTAATAATTCTAATTTTAAATGTTGATTTACCTAGAAAAATACACCAAATTTTGAAGTCTTCCAAATCATGCACAATTAAGAAATAGCATGCATTCTGTTTTCTTCTTCCCTTGCCAGTAAAATATAGGTAGAAAGCACAGTGCTCTCTTGACATCTCCATTTCCTCATCTCTAATTTTGAACATAAAGCAATGCTATATTTCATCAAGTAATTTTTCTGCATCTATTGAGATGATCATATGATTTTTATCTTTGAGTCTATTGATGTGATGAATTTTATTTATTGATTTCCATATGTTGAACCATCCTTGCATCCTGGGATGAACTCTACTTGATCATGGTGCACTATCTTTTTGATATGTTTCTGTATTCAACTTGACAGGATTTTACTGAGAATTTTTACATCTATATTCATTAGAGATATTGGTTTGAAGTTTTCTTTTTTTGATGTGTCTCTGTCTGATTTTGGAATCAGGGTGATGTTGGCCTCATAGAATGTGTTTGGAAGTGTTCCCTCTTCTTCTAGTTCATGAAATAGTTTGAAAAGTATTGGTGTTAGTTCTTCTTTAAAGGCCTTGTAGAACTCAGCTGTGTATCCATCCAGTCCTGGGCTTTTCTTGGTTGGTAGGCTTCTGATGGTGTCCTCTATTTCCTTGCTTGAAACTGATCTGTTTGGAAGACCATTTTGCAATATTTAAAACACAGAAAGTTTTATAGAATAAAACAACAAATGAATACCTACCTCATAGCCAAATTTTTAACACAGGCAAAATCCCACCAATGCTTCCTGATCACATGTCTTCCTCCTGAATTTGCACTGTACCATTCCCAGGCAACTGCCTCATAACTTTATGAAGCGTATCTTCATAAAATATGTATAATTTTACATGTGTATCCTTAAGCCATATGGAATATTATTTTTGAATTCTTAAACTTTACCTAAATGGCATCCTAGAACACAAATTCTTCTGAAACTTGATTTAGTCATCATGATGTGAGCGAGAATCATCCATGCTCAGGTATATAGTTTAGGTTTGCTCATCTTCACTGCTGCAGAGTTCCGCGGTGTGAGCGTGCTGTAACTTACACTCTGGTTTAGGAACTACTGTGAATATTCTTTCAATAATGTGCATGGACATTCGCTGTCTCCAGTTTCATATGCCACATCCTTTCCAACCTGTGATATTGTATATTTACATTTTTGCAAGTCTGCTAGTCCATTGCAATTTGATTCACTTTTCTCTAATCACTAGTACAATTAAGCTTCTTTCTTGCCAGTTTCTGGCCATCTGAGTTTTCTCTTCTGAAGAGTGTTTTATATATTAACCCTTTTATTATTTTTTTTTCCTTTTGGAGTTTTCCCTCTCCCCTCCCCTACTCTTCTTTTTCTCTTGCTTCCTTTCTTACTGGTTTGCTTTTTTTTTTTAACTTTTAACATCACCAAATAGATCAAACATTTTCTTTATTGCTTAATAAAGTCTTCTTTCCCCTAAGGTCATAAAAATGTTTTCCTATATTCTCATCTATAGAAATTTTACCTTTCAAATTATTTCGTTGAGGATTGACTTTCATATAGAGAGGGAAGCAAGGGCCCAATTCATTTTGCTTTCCTCCTGAGAACAGTGAAATGCCCCAGCACCATTTACTGAATGGTCTATTGGATTCCTTAGCAGCTCTTGCCAGAAGTCAGTGAACAGTAATCTTTCTTAGAAACGCATGGAAGTATTTGACTTTTCTTGAATGACATTTAAGTGGATACACAATTTCCTCAGCATTTTGAAGATGTGTGTCTTCTGGTCTCTATGGCCACAGAGGACATACCTGAAAAGTTCACTACCGAGTTGACTTGCTCCTTTATCCATCACCTTATCCCCATCCCTTTATGCTTCTCCTTTATCTTTGAGGTTCCACAATTTTAATACAAGGTTCCTTGATGCACATTTCTTTAAATTTATCTTGCCTGGAATTCTTTATCCCTTCTCAAATTTAGGGTTTTTTTTTTTTAACTTCTAAATGTTTTACAGTAATTCTTTTCGATGTTTCACTGACAGATGCCTTGCTTCCTCCTCCTGGAACTTCTATGAGCTGTGTGTCGAAGCTTCTGTCCACTCCCCATGTCACCTCATCTTTTTCCCTCTACCCCTCTCCTACTCGCTGGGGTGCCTCCCCTATAGTTTTATCAGATAGACTTCACATTTCACTCATTTCCTCTTCATCCACATCTACTCTATTGTTCCAGCTACATTTTAATGACTTCAATTTTCATTGCTTAAAATATCTCTGATTTTCTTCTCAATTTTGCAATGTTCTTTCTCCACCCTCAAAAATTGATTTTTACCGTAGTGACCCCGTGCCTTCTTTTATCCCTCTGAACATCTTAACCATTTATATTGGAGCCGCGAGAGGCAGCGTCATTTCGCGTTGCAGTCTTTTGCATGCAGGCGAGTCTCCCCAGTGCCTCCTTCCTCTGAGCTTACCCTTGCATCACCAACTGCTGTGGTATCTCTGTGTGCTGCACTCAGAAGACCCTCTCCCAGCCCAGTGTCCAGGGTACAAGAAGCCATTGAAGCCACTTTATGAAACTAATGGGTGGAGTTTTCCTGGGATAAGATACCCGCTTTACTGGCTCCTGGCTCCCCAGTACACATGGGAATTCCAGACTCGACTCTGGCTCTAGGTAGGATTCGGGACCCTAATCACTAAGGTGTTTCCTGTCCTAAGAGCAGAATGGATGCCTTGAGGCAGCCCTGACTCTCTCGCATTCCTATTCGACATGCTTACCCTTGGGAAATCAATTCACATCTTTGGGATAAATAGTAATAGCTGTGTGTGTCCACTTCTGCTCACTATTTTAGCTGAGCTCCCTCCTCATTCTGGCAACCAAAGAGTATTCCAGATAATTCTGCTAGGTACTTGGTAAAATGTATATTTTAACCACCATTTTCATGTGTCTACATAAAGAGTATGTATTTCTTTGTCCACTTCATGCAACCATTCCTAAAAGAACTCTTCTTCCCTCTCTTTCCCTTCCTTCCTTGGCCTCAGCAGTCTCCAGCTCTTCCCTCTGATTCCTTCCTTCCTTCCAGAAGCCAGAAACGTGAATAACATTGCAATTTATCGTTTCCCCCAATGATCACCTCCAATCAACAGCAAACCTCTACACATTCTACCCTTTGGCCCTATCATGTCCGAACTCTCTTCTCTTGCACTAGGATGGCCTAGGTCCTGGTCCTCTGTCCCCTTCCCCATCTGACTGTAGAAGTAGCCCAGATGATCTTCCATTCTTCTTTAAGTCTTGCCTGACTTTAAAATAATCATGGACATGAAATATTTCATGAGTTTTTATTTATTTTTTTTTGAGAGAGAGAGAGAGAGAATTTTTTTAATATTTATTTTTTAGTTTTCAGCGGACACAACATCTTTCTTTGTATGTGGTGCTGAGGATCGAACCCAGGCTGCATGCATGCCAGGTGAGCGCGCTACCACTTGAGCCACATCCCCAGCCCATGAGTTTTTATTATTATTATTTCTGTTATCTTTGTACCATGAAATTACCAAAAGGAACTTCAAAATATCATGTGCTTATTTGTGGTCTAAGATGATTTGGATAGCAGCCCAAGATTCAACCTTCCTCAGCTTTACACAAAAATGTATATGACACAAAGAAGGGGGAAAAAGAGAATGAAAATAAGGACTATCAAGTACTTGGTTGCCAGAATATAGGAGGAAATGCTACCAATTAAATTCACAAAGCTGAAATGAACATAAACATCCTGGGGTGATAGTGAATCACACATGGAGTCTTGGAAAGAGCTCCTGCCAGCCCGCAGGGAGCAGGAAGACACCCTGCCCCTCCTTCACTGCCCCCCACAGGCTAAGGACCCAGAGTCATTACCAGCAAGGCACAGGACAACCGGCCTCTTCTGCAGGTATGTTTTCATGCAAACTGAGTGTCTTTCAACCCATGTCTCCACACAAGCAGATTCAAGCCCAAACCCCTAGGAAGTAACAGGGCAAGACATAATGGTACTAGAAACTTGGATAGCCTCCCTGTTAATCTCTGTTTCACCAGAATAGAATTCTAGCTTTCTTACTAACACACCAAACACAACTTACTGAAAGTCAAATAAATGTAACCTTTCCTGAGCAGATCCCATCTGCAGAACAAAGTCCAGCTGGCCTGCATTGCATTCGAGGCCTCCTCTATGAGATGCAATCTACCTTTATAATCTTATTTCTCATTATTTGTCCAGACATTAGTAACTCTGGCTGCATAGTATTACCCAATATCTCTAGCACATTCTCTTTTCTCCCACCCTCTTGTCTAGCTTTCCCTTGTTTCTTCTGCCTGGAAGTCTCTCTTCTCCCTCTGATTGAAATCTTCCACGTTAATTAAAGGTCTGTCTTTCAAGGTTCAGAACCTTCTCAACATCTTCCAAACACTGAAACTGGAATCAATCAATGCCTTCTCTGTCCTCCAATAGCATTGTCTTGGTATTTTTATTTTCATACTTACCACTGTCTGTCTTATATCGCTACCTACAGACTGAATGCTTTTTATTAGCTGACACATACCACAGTGCCTTCTATTTCAAAATGTGCAATACACACATTGTTGAGCTAATTGAAGACAAGATGAAAATGAACTAGAGGGAGCTTCTTGCATAGATCTCAATTTTTACTATTCCATTTTATATTTCTCTTCAAAACAATAGCTGAGTTTTGTCACGAAGCCAAGATGCAGACTGAAAAGGAACTATATCTTGAATTTCCTTTGCAATTTTGAGGAGGAAACCCATAGGTGACACCTTCCCTGACAAAGGAAAGAGGAACTAGAGGCCACAGAGGTGGAGGAGGTGGAAACTGAGGTCATAAAACAAAAGGAAATCCTGTTTTCCAGTCTCCACAAACTGGGTCCAGTTGTTGATCTCTCCTGTTGAATTGGAGAAATAAAACATGTCCCGGAAGCTGCGCAGACGCTGCAGTAGTGGGAGAAGCAGGAGTGACCCAACAATACACAGGTGAGGTTCATCTCAGTTGTCTCCTTCTTCCTTCTTCCCACTGCAAGATAGAAAATTGATGTCAATTTTAAAGCCAGTTATACATTTGTCGCACAACAGTGAAGCTTTCAGCACCATTTTTAGTAATTTCCAGTTCAGCCAGCGCTGAACATAGTCAGACCTGCACTTAAAACCCCCGGGAGAAATCGTCCTTCTTAGTGGTTTCAGGAATACACATTCCATGATGGTTTGGGAAGGCACAAAAGTTGTGTTTCCCATCCCTTTCTCACCAATTCTAAAGCAAAATTGCTCTCGCTTCTCAGTCATTGATTCAACAAGTATTAATGGAGGTCTGCTAAGCTCCAAGTGCTGCGCTAAGAGCTGGAGGCAAACTGAGGAGGAAAGGCAGCAAGGCCCTTGACCCCAGGGGCCCCTTTCCCTTGGGAGAGACAGACACCAATCACGTAATGTCAATTTTCCTGCCATCAAAGTTAGTCCTTGGACAGGATATGAGACTCCAGAACAGGGGGGACCCGGGTTCCTCCGAAGACTTAGAAAACTTCCCCCAAATAACTGGGACACTGAGTTAGAGGCTGTGTGTACAACACAGCGGGGGGAGGGAGGACAACGTTCTAGCAGAGAAACGCAGAGACCCTGCTGCCGGAGAAATGATATTCACACACAGCGTTTAAGACTCCATCATCACGACCACAGCACGCCACATTCTCTTTCTGCAGTACTTTTTAGTAGCCAAGGTTCTGGGATTCTGCATACTCTTCTAGTTCACAAAAAAGCTAAGTATTTAGCTGTTTGGAAAGTTTAAAAGTAAAAACTGGGTTAAGAATTTGGGTGATAAATATAAGTTTTAATATGAGGTAAAGAAAAAAAGATGAGAATAGCAGAGTATGCGCTGAAAAATTTGAGTTTAGTTTCTTATTCTGTAACCCATCCTCCTTCCCCTCAAACCCCCCAAGCCCAGAGGCCTGGCCACAGTGCCTAAATCTTCCTCTGCTCTGTACGCTCAAATGAAAGGCAGCCAGACAAAGAGTAACTCAGAAAAACTGATCTCACTATCAGTTTTCTCAGCATTACTACTCTTAGACGACTCTTAGACCATTCTGATCCATTTTTCTTGAAGGTCTTAGGATAGACCATACTATGGGAAAAAAATTAAACAAGAGGAAACTGGTAAGTCTTGCCATCTGAGAGTTTATTTCTTAAACTTTCCAAAGTCTGTTTTACTGATTCAGAATGACTCTTGAAACCAGGATATAATTCAGTGTTTTTTGTTTTTTTTTTTTTCCCTGCTGGGCAGCATGCTCTGGTTTCTGTCTTGGCAGGGACAATACATTAATCTCCTCCTATAATCCTGACACGAAGGATTGGCACAGTATTTATTAATTTATCTTTCACTTAAATTGGTTTTGCCTTTAGCCTGCACTGCCTTTAACATTCTGGACGAACCATTCCTGTTTTTAGCATAATGTAAGATGGGGTCAAACTTCTACTTCTCCAGCTGGGCTTAATAAATAAAACTAATAGCTGAGATTGATTACCCATTTAGACAGCAAACTACAAAACCCAAGATGGATCGTGTAATCTGCAGCTCTATGACATGTATTAAATTTCAAGACATAAGATAAATAATTCATGTAAATAATAAGCAAGACACCCAAGAATAAAGTTTGTGGTAATCCTCTTACAGGAGGTGAAATAAATGACAAATTTTATTAACCCTTGACTTAGGATATCCTGTAAATGCATTTTAACTAATAATTGACTACTTGAGACTGAGGGAAAAATTAAAAAATTCTGTTACTTGTTTTCTTAATGAGAGACTTTCTTATTAAATATCTAGACAGACTTCTCAAAAAGTGTTCTCCAGATCTACATTTTTCTTACACGACTCTAAAGTTAACCTACCACCTTGTGATTTAGAAAATTGAAGTTACACAGATCATTCAGGGAGAGGAAATACAGGCAAAGGATATGAATGTCAAATCCTTCTCTTTTGGTGCCTGACAAATAGAACTCAATGGATAAAATATGAAGTAAGTGTTGAACTTTATTTGAATGTTTTAGGGGCTGGAGATATAGCTCAGTTGGTAGAGTGCTTGCCTGGCATGCATAAGGCCCTGGGTTCAATCCCAGCACCACCAAAAAATTGAATGCTTTCCAGTGACATAACCACTTAACCTGCTCCCCACAGGTTTCTTAATTTGCAATGTAGGGATTAAAAATTTCACTTCTTCATCGAGTAGCTTTGTGGCTAGATTAGTTAGATTTCAGGAAGCCAAGATAAGGCTGAAACTCTGAGGAAGATATGTAAATGAGAGATGACTGTTTCTCAGAACTTCTAATGAAGGACTGTACACATCAGCCCTGCCACTGAGACGTTCCAGCCCGGGATTAGGGAGTGGGTAGATTTCTAAGCCATCCAGAACAGGACCTGTGGCCCCCCGGACATAGTTCTTCAGCCCCAGGGATGCAAAGATGAGATGTGTATGTCCCCTGCAGCTCCAGAGGACTTGAATACTCAGCCATGGATACAGAGCTTTGGTCAGTTAAGCCCTCCCTGAGCATGTCTATAAGGCAGCAAGTAGACTAGGTTTTTCTGGAATGTTCTAAAGATGAAGAGAGTCCCTGCGTTCCAAGATTTATGAATTTGAGATGAAAATTGTATGCAGTGAACTTATTAATAATTTTTAGATTCTTTATTATTAGCATTACTCCAATTTTACAGATAAGAAAACAAAGGCACAGAGAGTTTTGCTGAGTATTTTTTTCAGCACAGCAAAGAAAGTGAGGGACGAAAATGAAATTTCACCTCCAGCCTTTGCCTCACTCTTTATCTTGATGTTTACAAGGAAGCAGAGAGACTTGCCACTGGGGTTCCTTTTTGTGTTAAATTTTGCTTTTCTCACAGGATTAACAGTTAACTAATCTTTACTAGGGATAAGAGTTTGAATTTTAGAAACTCAGTTCTTGTATAAAAGTGTTGGAATAATGACAGGCCTGGGCATAAGTTCTCCCGAGTGACTGTTTACTTTGGAAACAATTGCCTGAAATTGGGTGGCTTCTGCAGTCACGATAATGAGTTCCATAATCAAGGTGACCCCACCTAGGGGATCCAGTTGGTCTTTGAAAATTTCCAGTGAGGATTAGAAATGAGTCAAGAGGTCACATTTAGACCCCAGCATAGGCTTTGTATTTGGAGAGTTTAGAGGAGTTGATGGGTGGCTTTGAGACACACCAGAAGCTTTGCATCCACGGATCTGGAGCTGCTCCCAGACCCAAAGACGGGGTCACCCTATCCCCAGACCCAAAGACAGGTTCCCCCTATGGCAGATCCTTCCTCACCCGTCAAATCTGAAGCCAGCACCTTCAGTGCCAAGCCCGCGGCCCAGGCCTTCTTTCTTCTTCGTCTTCACAGCAACTGTTGTTGCCTGCAGGTGGCTGACTTCTTGGCCCCACACCTAGGGTGTAAGAGGCAAAAGAAAACCCAGGAAACTCACAGGTGGCTGACTTCTTGGGTTTGCCATGTGCAGAGCTTTCGGTGTACTTAGAAGAAATGGGGGAAAGTATGTCCACTCCATTTCTCCAGAAGTGGGAGTGTGTGCTCTCTCTCTTTCTGTCTCTCTCTCTCCCTCTTTCTTTTGTGTGTGTTAAAGTACATGTAACATAAAATCTGCTGGGTTAACCAGGTTAAGTGTACAGTTCAGTAGCACTAAGTACTTTCACAACCCTCACCACCATGCAGCTCCAGAATTTTTTCATTACCCTAAGTAGAATTCTATATCCATTTAACGCTAATTCCCACTCCCTCCTCCACCCCAGCCCCTGGTAACCTTGAGTCTACTTTCTATGTCTATGAATTTGCCTGTTCTAGATATTTCATGCAAATGGAATCATGCAGAACTTGTCCATTGTAATTGACTTATTTCACTTTCCACATTGTCCAGGTTATCTACATAGTAATATGCATCAGCATGCCCTTTTTTCCATGGCTGAGTAATATTTCACCATATAGTTATACAGTCCACATGCTGCCTATTCATTCTCCTGTTGGTGGACGCTTGGATTGGTTTGATCTTGGACAAAGCAGTGCTGAGAGTTATGGTGAGAAGGGACAGTGGACATGTGTGAGGGGTTTACTTGCAGAACACAGAGAGCTCGATTCTTGAGGTGTAAATCCAGCATCCTCCAACAATCCTCAGCCAGTTTTCCTTTAGGAAACCTGAGAAAGGCTATCTTATGTGTTTGGCAGCCTTCTGCTTATTTACTTTAATAACCTTCCAGTGTGGATCAGTCCACAGTATAGTCTGACACTTTTCAAATGCCAAAAGAAAAATGACCTGGTGAGTCTGTGCACATCTCCCCGGGGCCTCAGCAGTGCCTGTCAGAGACCAGCCCTGTGCAGACTGCTGCAGCACTGCCACCGAGCCTCCGAGCTAAGGCACCAAGTCCTGTAACCGAGGTTACTGGGTAAGAGACTTGCTTGAAGACAGTGGAACCTGAGAACTGAGAGGCGTGCCCACTGATGGTCCCCGTCCCTGCAAGGCATGTGGACGTCAGCTTCCCGGCACGTGCTCCACATTCCTGGAGGCTCCAGTCAGTGGCCAGTGTCATGTGGTGATCCCCAAATTCTTACTCAAAAATGAGCAGTCCACAAATAACACCTAACCTTTTGTCACTAAAGCTAAAGGCTTGGTACTCAATCTGTGGTACTTATTGGAAGGTTTTGGGACAGTCAAGAGTTGGAGCCAAGTAGAAGGAAGATAGGTCACTGGAGGTGTGGCCTTGAAGGGACACTGGGACCCCAGCCCCTTCTCTCTCTCATGCTTCCTGGCCACCATAGGAGAGCACCACTGCTCCACCAAATGCTTCCTGTCATGATATTCTGCCTTGCCACAGGCTCAAAAGCAATGGAGTCAGCCAACTATGGTCTGAAACCATGAGACAAAAGAAACTTTTCCTGTTTTAAGTTGTTTCTCTCTGGTATTTTCTTATAGTGACAGAAAGCTGGCTGATAAACAGGGTAAAACAAATAATCCCAGTTCC